AATATGATATATATATATATATATATATATATATATATATAAAATATTCCCACATGGATTGGGCTAATTTTGGGGCCGAAATACAGAATTAGTTGTTGCGGAGCCCAGTCTATTAGCGGGAAAGGGGTCATAGAGAAGGCAGCATCTCTGAAGAGAATGCGCGGGAAATGGAGAAATACTTGGTTTCGCAAAAACCCTCAATTGAAAATGTTCGGCCTCTTCGAAGGTAAATTTGCCTTCACTGTCATCGATTTTGGTTTATGGAATTAGATATAGGTATTGAGGTTTGTCATGGCTGTGATCTTGCAATCGAAGAAGCCATTGGAAGAGGAGTTCGGTTGAACTAAATGGGAGATTTGAGCCTAACTATCGTCATCAGATGATGGATCTGCTAATGCGCTCCTATTCTGAGGTGCGTTTGGATTTTTAGGTGATTATGTTGTGGTTATGTGGACCGTGTTTCTGACGCCATGCTTACTTTGTCTGAAGGTTGGAGTGTTTCCGCATTTGTATCAAGTGGATGGGTCGCCGTGCCAAACTCATGTATGTATTCATAACTTTGCGTATTGGCCATTTCACTCCAAGTTCTGTGGTTTAATTTAATTTAAGTTTCATTGGGCTTGATGTACAGACGAATCGATTGGTTAGTGAGGCAAATGGTGATGGCTATCTTCCATGGAGAAAGTTAGTATTCTGCCTTCTTTATGTTTGATGACATTAATCAAGATTGAAAATATGTAAATATCAATTCCTTTAGTGTTTGTGTGAACGAATTCGAGTTTTTTTTCCCTTCCTGTTCACACTTGCCAGTTTATGCCTAGCATGTAAAATTTGCAGTGAGCTATTAAAATTCTGCAGCACACTTGTAGTTTGAAGCAAATATTCAGTCAATAAAACAGAATCAGCTACACAAGGATTCAGGATTTAATTGACCAGACTATTTGTCTAAGGATACTGTTTCAGACTGACCAGTCTATGACAGTAGTGTAGTCAGTAGTGTTAACCATATTTATGATCGACCTAAAATTTGGTAATCACATCTAATTTGGTAAACTCCCCTGCGCTGACATCCAATTGGATCATTTCTTTTGGGGCTCCTACTTTTCATCATGAAGCTCTACTGATTCTTTCTACTTCTGAATTATTTTAAGGTATGTTTGTTATGGTTGGAAATCTTGAATGATTATAATGATTAGTGCAAAACATATGGTCGTGTCAAATTTTTATGACATTTCAGTTTTGAAAACTTGTCTGGGTCATTTTATCTTAGTTTGGTATCCACAGTAAGATGTTTTACTTTACTTTTTATGAGTACAAGCCGCTTTGATTTTTTATTTATCTGATTATTTTTTCCTTGGTAATTCTTTTTTTTTTTTCCTTGGTAATTCTTGTTATTATTGTTGCATTTGAAGTTTTTAAATGCTTTCTTGAAAAAGAATTGAATTAGTAGTTAGCAATGGTGAACTGCTAGACTTGTAATGTTCCATATGTGGTGTGTTGCTTTTCATGATATTAGTAATTTCTCTCTACAAATAGCTTACATATGTTCGTTAACAGGCAAGGCATCACTGCAGTAGATTTTGACAGCAAGGTAAATACAAATTGATATTGAAAGGCTTTAGTTGAAAAGAGAAACTGTTTAAGTAAATGTCATTGTGATGCTTGATGCTTCAACAGTAAATAATTCGTGTGTAATGTTCTAAAATAAGAAAAACATCACATTCAAATACACTTAAATTTAATCAGAGCTAGCATTTGAATTAATGTTATAATTTCTAGGTTTTTCTTAAACTAAAAATTTTTTCCTACCAAAAAATTAGAATTTTTGTAACATTCTTATTTTTTACTAAACTTTTAATCAAAAGCTGTTAGAAGGCTTTCGAGATAAAAGTGATTCCCCTTAAAAAAATCTATTCCCAAATCCCAAACATGATTGGCTGCGTTATAGTTGTGAGTCTTGTGACACTAATTTCACATGCTCGAGTACATTCGTGCCCCTTTCTTATTGTTATATATGTATAATTTTTTTTAATAATGGATTATATTTCTTGCACACCACTGTCCATATGAATTCACCACAGTAATTGTATGAGTATCTGTTTTGTTGATAGCCTTTTTGTTTTATTTTATTTCTCATTGCTTTAGTATTTTAAGTATTCCATTCATTTTTTGAACTGTACTCTAGGGAATATACTTGGTGTCTGTGACAAAATCAGGTTGCCTAACAGTTCACGACTTTGAAGCTCTTTATTGCCAGATACCTGAATTAACGTGTAAGTTCCGCTATGGTGGTTATGTTTTGCTTATTTTTTAAATGCTGCTGTGCTTGTTAAATTTGTTGGATTTAGTGCGAGAATGTTTATGGCTTTATTCTCTTCATAGCAATCTTGATATTGTGACCAAACTATTGGCTTAGCATTTTTAGTGTTAGAATAGAATTCAAGTGACTTATAAGCAGTATTCAATTACACAATGATAAGAATTATTAGCTATATGCCTATATGTAAACTTTCTTGCCAGCTGACATTTTTATGTTAGGCTTGATGAATGAAATTTGTCTTCACTAAAGTTTTGTTTTGAAAACCTAATACTATGCACTTAACTTTGTTATAGGCTTCAAATAGTGAAAATTTATTTTTCTTCCAAATTTGTCCAACTTATTTTTTTCTCTTGCAATGAATTTTTTTTTATTAGGTGGAGTTAAATAACTAATTTGGGTTTGTTTTTACATTTTTTTTTACTGTTTTATGTCTTTGGAAGAGTAAGAAAAAGGGTTAAGAAGCTTTGATATTGCCTACTTCATTTTTAAGTAGCATTATATTTATTTTTTCCTTGGACCGGGAGGAATTTCAAATGAAGTGTTATTTATCATTTAAAATTGGTTTTGTATTAATTTGATGATAGGCTTGAGGGAAGATGAAAGCAAGCACTTAATGCACCTCTCACTAAATCGACAACTTGATGCTGTCAGATGGAATCCTCTTAATCAGGATGAGGTTTCAGCTTGATTAAATTACCTTCTTACTCAACATTTTAATATGGAGTTTATAAATCGTTGATTATTTCTAAATAATATCAATGACATGTACTACGTAAATTTGGTTTTATCTTTTGTAGTTTTTTATGTTATAGCTTGTCTGTTGTATGTCAAGGATAATCTTCTGATGATTTGGCACTTTTTCAAATGAAATTATCAGATTTAACAAATGCTTGCGCATTTTATGTGAGACCAGTGATTTTTTGAATTCATTATTGATATGTTTCGTGTTATAAACAATTCAATATTCTATTTGCCCTGCTATTTGTTTTACTTTTTCATTTCAGGTTGTTTGTGCATCTATAAAAAGTAATGAACTACTCATATTCGATGTTGGATATATCTCATCAGATCCAGTTGAAGTAAATTTCAATTCTTATCTGTTATTGCACTTTCTTGTTAAATCTTGCTTACATGGACATTATGTTGCCAGTTCTTTCCTTTCAAAAATCACAAAATGTTTCTACTTTTAATTGTTGATATTTGACACCACCAAATTCAGATGAAGTTCTTGTTGCATTTTGCCATTATTATTAACTCTTTACCCGAGCTCTGAAACTTTTGTCTAATTATTTGTTAATGATAAAATATAGCACCTTTACCAACCTTCATCAAATCATTTCCTCAAATAAAGTCAGTTGGATTAATATCTTGCTAACCATTTCTTTTGGATTCATATTTATACAAAGAAGAATGCAAGCAATATATTCTTTAACACATTCCTCCTAACAAACTATCTCCGATAATATTTGTTGAAAACTACCAAATCATGAGAGATATTTATTAAATATAATCTGAGACCCACACAATTTTGTGATTTCTAATAAATTTCAACCAATAGGAGAGAGTGTGTTCTAAAAAATGTGTAGAGAGTGTATTCTTAGCATTTCTCTCTACAAAGAAGAATGAACTAGGAAACTCTGTAGATACTAACACCTTGGAAAGAGATACATTTTACAGGAAACTCAGCTATTTTTACATCATCAAATCAAACGTAGCTCTTATCTTCTTGTTTTCTAGGAATATGCTAGGAAATTGCTATTTTCATCACAATTCCTTATTTTGGCTTTGTTTTATTCTTCAAAAGTGTTTTTTTGGGTCAAATGCAGTCATAAAGGTGTTTATTTTTTGATGCCAGGCTAACTATTTTTTTCCCCTTAAATTACATAATACAGGTGTTAAGAACAAGACTTACAACCCCAGTTCATGGATCCAGCATACCCAAAGGTCTCACTGATGTAGCTTTTACGTCAAATGACACAAGGTTGGTAACTCCGATTTAATTTAGAGGAATTGCTTGACTGGAATAATGAATTCCTACTACTATTACTTTTTCTTTTATTTAAGATGCCTTTTTGTTTTTTTGGGTACTACTGGAGGCTAAAGCTCAAACTAAAATCCTCTAAAAAATGAAACAGCAGATGTCTGTAAGTAAGCTAAAGCGAATACACATAGGAGGGGGATCAAAGACATGAAAACCATCTTCTAATCCTAAACCTTTCTTAGCCAATGAATTAGCTACCTGGTTAGCCTCACTTACAGCTTAAAACGGTCACACCCTACCAAATTACACAAGGAGTAACAAGCATGGTGATGGTTAACTCTATCATTCAGGAATTGTATTGCAATGGCTAAATCTGATTAAACCTGTACCTCTTTCAGAATTCCTTGTTCTTATAGCTTTCAAACAGCAGAAAAGTGCCCAAAGCTCAGCCTGGATAATTGGACAGTTATCAAGCTTGCAAAAATATGCAAGGACAAAATTGCCCAAGTGATCTCGTTATATTTAAGATGTCTAAAGATGTAATATAATTGTCAACAGAAAATGAGAAAAAAAACATAAAACTAAACTAATGTCTAGGATGATTCTTCATAATATTATTTAACCCTAAACCCTAAAACTATGTCAATATACTTTTTCTTATATTTAAGCTGTCTAAATATGTAATATAAATAATTGTCAATAGAAAATGAGAAAAAAAAATAAAACTAAAGTAATGTCTCGGATAACTCAAGATACTATTATTGAACTTAACAACTAAAATGTTCTATTCTAACACGTGTTTGCATAATTATCCATCAATTTATCCCAAAAATCTACGTTTTGTAGATTTATCACTTATGTTCGTATAGTTCTTTGAAATCTAAGTGGAAAAGGGACGGCCATTACTGTTCGCTTGATAACCAGTAGCCGTTAGCTAATGCCTCAAGTATATTTCTTTCATGCATATAATTGAATGGGTTCTTAAATGATAGTTTATAAAGCAGACTTTTTCTTTCCTATGAATTTGACGGGAATTTGGAGTTCACTACAGTGATTACAGGAAAATTCAGAGAATAAAGCTCAAATTACAGTAGGAAAAAATGCAAGAAAATGTATAAATAGAACAGAAAATATGATGTTTTCTCTTTTATCCTTGCCTGTAATTGTTTCCCCTTCCATCCTACCTTTCTTGCCATGTAAGCAAGGTTGTTGTACTCAAAATCCCTCTTCTGCCCTTTACTCATCACTGTGTCTTGTATATGAATGCCTAACAGAATTGCAGTTAAAAATAAAATAAACATTTGGGAAATGGGATATTTGCATAGTAACGTTACAAGTTAAAATTTGTACTCTTTTATCATAAACTTTACCATGGGAACGTGCAATTTGCTAATATTTGACTCAGTAAACCGAAATTTAAGGCCTAAACTTGAAGGACACCCGACTTATGGGTGACCAAAGATCTCTCTCTCTCTCTCTATATATATATATGTATATATATGTGAAGAGATTTAATTACTCCAAGAATAAGTTTTGATATACTTACTTCACTTAATAACTCATGTTTTACATCAAATTTTAATGATCCAACCATTAAATTAAAAGTTAATGTATAGATTAAGTTGATAAATTTTTAAAAATTTTGAAAATCATGATACTTGTTATATAAATTCAAATCAATGTATAAAATATTTTTATGATTATATGTATAGAGAAAAAAATAAAATCAAGTTTTCTTATTTTGAATATTTTCAATACAATATATATATATGAATAAAGAATAAATATCTAAAAGATATAGATAAATATTCGAAAGATGTGATGAGATATTAATTGCAATTATTTGAATAATTTGATCATAATATCTTAACTAATTACACCAACACGCCCCTTAAGATGGTGGTGGGAGAGCAACACCAATCTTGGACATTAACCATTTATGTCGTGTAATGCCAAGGGGTTTAGTGAGCAAGTCTGCAAGTTGATGGCTAGAAGGAACATGAGACACTGTGAGTTCTTACCGATAATTAAGTCACATACAAAGTGATAATCAATGAGAATATGTTTCATACTTGAGTAGAACACCAGGTTGGCACAAAGATATATGGCTCCAATGTTGTCAGAATAGATGAGTGCCTCACCAACAATTGGAAGTTGAAGTTCCTTGAATAGCTCCTTGATTCAGAGAATTTCAATTGTAGTTATCTAATGGTACGATATACTACCTCCATGGATAATTTGGCAACTGTTTTTTGTTTTTTACAAGACCAAGAGATAACATTGGAACGAAGGTAGATAATATAAACAACAATTAATTTCATGTCTGATGAGTCTCCACCCTAGTTTGATTCGCAAAATGCTTGTAAGCGAAAGTCAAAAGAATGTTTAAGGTAAAGACCATATTGCAAAGTGCCTTTAAGTTTAAGGTAACGGAGGAGGCGTTTGATAGCCTGCATGTAAACTGCCATTGGAGCGTGCATATATTGGGAGAGTTTGAAGACAAAATATGCAACATCAGGCTGAGTCAAGGAGAGGTATTGAATTGAGCTAATGAAGGGACGATACTCTTGTGCATCACATGAAGGTGTGTCACCACAAATAGCAAGATCACCCGAGGTAGACATAGGTGTTGAAATTGGTTTAACATCTTGTATATTAATTTGAATCTATATATTGAAGTATCATGGTTTTCAAATTTTTTAAAAATTTGTAAACTTGATCTATGCATTAAGGATTTTTAATTTAAATGTTGGATTATTATAATTTGATATAAAACATGAATTATTGAGTGAAATAAGTTTATCAAGACTTATTCTTGGAGTAAGTAGATCCATTTTCTCTCTTTATATATTTTTAAATATAGAATGTCAATAAAGATTTGTTCTGGGGACATGCCTAGATCTTGAAGGGTAGGG